AACAAACCTTGACTATCGACCAAAATGACTAATCTAGCATCTTCAAGCAAAAAACATTAAACAGTACAAAAATGGTTCTAAGCTGTGTATAATATAACTGTACAGTCCTATTTGTAATGCATAATTTGGACAAACATACTTGTTATATTTTGCTACAATTCTCTGAAGGTGAAAGGGTTGCAAATGGTCTCTTCAGTAGTTAAAATTCAGTAGATAGGCCTAGTTATGTGAACATCTCCTTAACTCTACAATGAGAATGCAGACATACCATGTAGGCCTATCAAAATGGCTGAAAAACTAAATTCAAATTTTGTACTTAAATATTATCAAAATTTGAATTATATTCGAATTTAAAATGCATAATTTCAGTTAGGGTAAAGAAAAGTTTTTGGCTTCCCTCCTGAGGCCACAAGAGGGCACATCGAGCAAAATATTACTAATGCACGTTTATTCAAAGCATAAGATAACATGACTATCTGCAAAAAAAGTGCATAATGTTTATAAACTAATTATAATTAATTAAGTTGCTTAAACAACTAAAAACAGCATCATGTATGTATGCATGGTTTAATACAAAGGGCCGAAAGCCAATCACATTGTCAAACACGAGTTGCAGTGGGATGGGAAAAAAAACTCACCATAAAGTCTCGAGATATGTTTTTTCAAAGTTGAACTTGCATTAGTTTTACATGGCTTTTTAAACATGCGGCTCTTTTGTGCGAGACGCGAGTGCAACGGTGATAGATGTCCCTCTAGATCAGGGGTGCCCAAACTCGGTCCTGGAGGGCCGGTGTCCTGCAGAGTTTAGCTCCAAGTTGCCTCAACACACCTGCCGGGAAGTTTCTAGTATGCCTAGTAAGAGCTTGATTAGCTGGTTCAGGTGTGTTTGATTAGGGTTGGAGCTAAACTCTGCAGGACACCGGCCCTCCAGGACCGAGTTTGTGCACCCCTGCTCTAGAAAATGCGCAAAATTAGTTTTGACATAAACAAGATCTTCTCCGCATTGATGTTCTCTTTTCCCGCAATATTTGTAATTAACAACGCAGCAGCGGCACATCTAGTGGCTTCAAATGGATAGGCTAACAAACACATTATAATGCAACGATGCTTACATCGTCATCACATCTCGTGCGCCACTGATAAGGCTGCCTCCTTAACGCACACCTAAAATTCGAATGCAACGTTTTTGCATTCGAATGTGGATTTTATTTTAAATTCGACGAATATTCGAATTTCGATTTTTTTTTTTGACAGCCCTAATCCCATGAGCCTTTTATCATTATTAAGATATTTGCTCTTCACAGTCTGCTACAGAAATCCTCCAGAGATGCATTCTTTTCAATAACATTCTCTTGCACTGAGTCCAGGTCTAAAGATCACTGTTCAGCGCTGCTGGTTATTTCTCACTCCGCGCTCTGTTTTGAATTACTGCCGTTTTCTTATTCCTTTTCATTCTATTCCAAACATCAAATCTTACATCTCTCCTCTGGTTTTGCTTTTATTCTGCCGGTCCCTACAGGTCTCCACGGGACTCGCACTCAAGCCAAACACAAAAGAGTTTTTTGGGCAGACGGAGGGAAAAGCCTCTTGAGGTGCCCACAGACGGGGGCTACAGCTGTACAGAGGCCGCGTGGGGTTGCGGTGCTGTGGTGAGAGTGAAAGGGCCGTATTTCAGTTTCACCTGCCATACGCTATTTGGTACAGTGTAGTATCAATGGACTTATTTGTAAGCCTTCCTGTGGACCTGTTGGAAACAGCCATTCAGTGTTCTTGATATGAAGCCTTTAAATTTCACATTTTAGTATTGTTTGGAAATGTTTTGTTTTTCTAACGCAGCAGGAAATGTATCAAACACAGAAACGCATATGAGCGTTCACATTATGCTTGTCTCTGAGATGAAGGAATCCTTCCTGCCTCCTCTGTCATACAAAATCACATGCCAAAATGACACAGCTTTAAAATACATTTTAACGCTTTGCTCTTGACAAAAAGAGAACCCTTATTTACTCATACGCAACACGTATGGTGTGAAACTGCATTTTTATTAATTATTCTGGCTGGTTTCCTGCCCTTCGGATTATAATCACACTAAAAAGAGGAAAATATGAGAGAATTAAATAAAAAGAGGTTAATATGTTGGATCAACACTTGGCACAGCTCAACTCTTTTTGTTTCTGTGCCAGTTTTTAGTGGAACAAGGTGTGGAGTTTTGGACTACGATCAAGTATCCATGAGTCCAAAAAAATAAAAAGTTGATTACTGCAGAAATTACTCTACAATATGGTGCTTCAGGACCCAAAAAGGAGCCAAAATTAATAATAATTTATTACTATGTTGAATTTTAAGGAAATTTTTTTGTTTATTTTTGTATAATTTTGAATAAATGTGTATATTTTTGTATAAGTTTGTATATTGATAAACAAGAATGAGTCATATTCAATGCTCATCAAATCTGCATTTACTGTATTTGATCAAAAATACAGGAAAATAGTATTGTGAAATATTATTACAATTAAAAATAACTTATTTATGTGCAGAAACATTTCATATTAATCTAAATGGTTCAAAATGGTTATGCCACATTTTTTGGTTTTTTTTTTTTTTGGTGAGTAGATGTTCCAATGAACAGCATTTATTTGACATAAAAGTCTCTTGTAACATTATAGTCTGTACTGTCACTTTTGATCAATTGAATGCATCAATAAAATGTAATTCAAAAACTTTTAGGAGTAATATATATATATTAGTGCTGTCAAACGATTAATCACGATTAATCGCATCCAAAATAAAAGTATTTGTTTAGATAATATATGTGTGTACACTGTGTATATTTATTATGTATATATAAATACAAACACATGCATGCATAGATTTAAGAAAAATATGTTATGTTTATATATTAAATATATTTATATATAATATAAAATATAAGTATATAAATATATAAATGTATATACATGTAAATATTTTCTAAATACTGTATGTGTGTGTGTGTATTTATATATACATAATAAATATACACAGCACACATAAATATATTATGTAAACAAAAACTTTTCTTTTGGATGCGATTAATTGCGATTAATCGTTTGACAGCACTAATATATATATATATATTCTTATTACCAAATATTCTAATAGATTTTACATGACTTTTAATCTGAGAAAGTAGATTACTTTAGATTTTACTATACTCTGCTGCACAGTATGGTGCTTCGGGACCCAAAAATGGGCCAAGAGTAATAGTAATGAATTACTATGTTGGATTTTAAGGACATTTTTGTTTATTTTTGTATGATAAACAACTATGGGTCACACTCGAAAGTAAAATCTGGGTCCTGAAGCAAAACCGCTGCTATACCTAATCTGCTGCTTATCACATTTATCACTTATGACTCATTTTACGCTCTCAGTCTCAGATTATTAATCATTTTAAACTGCAGAAAGACAGTTCAGCACGACTCAATAAGCCTGACAAATACAACTCATCTTCATGACACATGATCGAACGGCTGCATTCGCCAATGTGCGCTATGGAGAGGGCAGGTCACGAATCAAGAACTCATCACATGATTCTACACACATACGCATGGCCTTGTCATGCATTAGAGGTGGATATATAGACAGCGTGCGGATGAATCCGTTGGATTTGACATGGGGGTGGGGGTGCTGGTATAGGAGGAGGATAAAAGGGACATGGGGGGATGGGATGGGATGGAGGAGCATCAGGGGAATCCGTTGGGGCGGAGGTCAGCGGTGTCTGTGCCAATAGTTGTTAGATAAGGATTTCTAGATCAGTATCAAGAATCTCTTAGTTGCAACACCAGAAAATCAACCAGGCTTATTTTTCATTCTGTTCTATTATACATAAGACAAAAAAAATACTTCTAGATCTACAGCACCTAATTGTGTGCTTGGATCAATGAACAAAGTGGAAATAAAAAAACATTTCCCTATTATGACAGGCAGGATCCCACATGGACGTGTTGCATTGCTTGGATGCAATAACTTTTAGACTGCATGACTGCCCTTTGTTGAGAAAAATTGAAGGAGCAGTCATAACAGTAAACTCAACAGGCGCATGATGCGGTGACACATAAATTGCTTAAGAAAACAAGCACTCACTTTGACCTGTTTTCAGCCTGGAGCCACACTTGACAAAAATCTCTTAAAAGTATGTGAGAAAGTTACTGCACAAAACACACGTACATGGATTGGTCATATACCGCAATTAACCGTCTAATGAGAGAACAATGCATGGAATGCTGGGAATGTCTGGCTGGATGAATTCCACAGTTTTTGTTTTGATAGCTTATGCTCCAAAAATTGAAAAATTGCAGGTATCCTTCAGTTACTCTCCATTAATCTGATCTAGTTTTCATATACATATATGTATATAAACAACTGGGGTCAGTAAGATTTTTTTTTTAAGAAATTAATACTTTTATTGAGAAGGGACATATTAAATGTATTTATTATGTTAAACGCTGATCTTTTACTGAACATTTTAGTGATAATATGAAATGTTCAGAAGACTAGAGTAATGATGCTGAAAATTCAGCTTTGCCATCACATAAAATACATTTTAAAGTATATTAAAATAGAAAACGGTTACTTTAAATTGCAATAATACAATATGACTGTTTTATTGTATTTTTGATCAAATAAAAACGAACAAATCTTACTGACCCCAAACATTTGTTTATGTTAGTTTTTATGTATTAATGGTTTCTAATATGCACAACAACAACAAATAAAATTCAACAATTATTCTATAAATTGACAATTTGATTCTAGTTTTGATGCTTTTCTTCTTTGGTCATTTGTTACAAGTGCACAGTACGTCAGTAAAGAAAAAGTGAAAAGTTATTGTTTAAAAACACATCTCAGAAGCCATTAAACCCAATGAATGCTGATGCATGTGGTCTGGTTTTTGTTTGCTCTTAATATCAGTGCTGCTGGCTGCTATTTTCACATGTGTGTCAGTAAAGGCTACTCACGGCAGTTCTCCTCATCGCTGTTGTCAGAGCAGTCATCATCATCATCGCATCTCCATATGGTGGGAATACATCTCTTATTGTTGCACTGAAACTGTCCATCCTCGCACTCCGTCTCAGCGCCAGTTTCAGCACCTGTGAACGACAGTGAAGAGATTTACAGTCGCCCACGACAGATAACCTGCAACCATCACAGTATATCTAGCGTTACTACTGCACAATAACACAGGACCGAACCGAGCGAGTCCAAACACAGCGCGTGCTTTGAACAGCAATTCTATTACTTCACGCGCAATTCAATAAAGCCCTGACAAAGAAAACAAATCTTTCTCTTTCTTTCAGTGCTATTTCAGACGAAAATGTTTCTGTGGATAGTGATGCCCATGAAACAATAAACGAATATGCTGCCAAATCATCCACCTTTAATATTCTACTCGTGTTACAAACTAGCTTTGTGTGTGTGTGTGTGTGTGTGTGAGTTTAAAGGCAGAAATGTGGAAACACAAGGCTGCAGTGTGTCTGTAGGCTCAGGAGTGTTCAGTCTCTCGCACCCACGAAATATCCACCACAGCATCATTCACTCAGTCCGTTGAAAAAGGCTCCGGGTAATTACATGTCAAAAACAGAATACAACAAACCTTCTGCGGAGTATAATTCCCAAACTAAAACATGAAAAAATAATAATTTCCCAATTTCTGTCCACATTTCGGAAACGGGTTAGAGTGTTCATCCACAAACAAAAGCGCGTGCGGATGGCGTCGCTGCTTCTCTGAGTCTCCCAAAGATTCTCTGGCTATTCGAATCACTGACGACATCAAACGTAAGCGAGTATGAATAATAACTGCACTGAAGAGTAGCGTGCTGCTAGTGCTACTAAACACCCTTTACTAGAGAATGAGCCAAAACAATACAATAATTGTGAAATTATTAATATTGCAAGGGATTAAATAGCATTTAAAACAAATTCTCCATTATTAATTATTTGTTTTAATTATTCATTTAGTAAGTATGTATTTTATATGAATAAATATTATTATTTATTTTTCTTTGATATATTTATTTATTCGTGATCGGCCTAGAATTTGGATTAAAAATTTGGTGTACAATTTTCACTCAGAAATTGCTCATAAATTTCACAGTTATTTACGAAGAAAAGGCAAGACAGACATTGAATTACACTCTTAAAAATGCTGGGTTAAATATAACCCAGCGCTGGGTTAAAAAGGGACAAACCCAGCTATTGGGTTGTTTTGACCCAGCTCTTGAGTTGTTTTGACCCAGCTCTTGAGTTGTTTTGACCCAGCTCTTGAGTTGTTTTGACCCAGCTCTTGAGTTGTTTTGACCCAGCTCTTGAGTTGTTTTGACCCAGCTCTTGAGTTGTTTTGACCCAGCTCTTGAGTTGTTTTGACCCAGCTCTTGAGTTGTTTTGACCCAGCTCTTGAGTTGTTTTGACCCAGCTCTTGAGTTGTTTTGACCCAGCTCTTGAGTTGTTTTGACCCAGCTCTTGAGTTGTTTTGACCCAGCTCTTGAGTTGTTTTGACCCAGCTCTTGAGTTGTTTTGACCCAGCTCTTGAGTTGTTTTGACCCAGCTCTTGAGTTGTTTTGACCCAGCTCTTGAGTTGTTTTGACCCAGCTCTTGAGTTGTTTTGACCCAGCTCTTGAGTTGTTTTGACCCAGCTCTTGAGTTGTTTTGACCCAGCTGTTGGGTTGTTTTGACCCAGCTCTTGGGTTGTTTTGACCTAGCTGTTGGGTTGCACCCTGCTGTTGGGTTGTTTTGACCCAGCAGTTGGGTTGTTTTGACCCACCGGTTGGGTTGTTTTGACCCAGCTGTTGGGTTGTTTTGACCCAGCTGTTGGGTTGTTTTGACCCAGCTCTTGGGTTGTTTTGACCTAGCTGTTGGGTTGCTTTGACCCAGCGGTTGGGTTGTTTTGACCCAGCTCTTGAGTTGTTTTGACCCAGCGGTTGGGTTGTTTTGACCCAGCTATTGGGTTCAAAACAACCCAACCACTGGGTCAAAACAACCCAATAGCTGGGTTTGTCCCTTTTTATATTTAACCCAGCATTTTTTAGAGTGTAGGCTAAGCATGACATTTTGAAGTACAGTACATAGACTAAAAATAGTATTTTCTTGTAAAACATACTCTAGTGTTACACACAACTTGTGTGTAAATTTCATTGTATTTATTAATTTGATATGCTAAAGTGACTTACAATACAGTTCATTCAATTTCCCTGTGAATTTCCAAATAGATATATTGAAAACAGATATTGAGTGCATGGATATTTTAGCCTAAAAATCTGATGAAACCCTGCACCACCCCTCCGGGATGTTCACACACATTTCCTTAAAAACGTATCACCCTGAAGCAATATGGGAAGGCAGAAAAAGCATGAGATGATCAGTTTTGAAATTGCATTCATTATAATCCTTATTAAGATAATGGGGTTAGGTGACCTTGTAAAAGAGTTACAGTAATATAGTACTGCATCTGTGGCACTGTGCCAGCATGAACTATTCTGTCAGTCAAAACTAGGCCAGAGCTATCCTGACAGGATAATCAGTCATTTTAATAGCAGTAAAATGGGACTGTAAGTAAGAAGCCCCACCCCCAACTGCTTAACTATGTACATGGCCAATGGCAACAAGGTATTCAAAAGGAAATATTTACGGGGGGAAAAAAAGACCCTATTGTCATGAACTTGGCATATACCCAGATTATGTAAACAGGCAGCAAGTGGCTGCCAATCTGCCTTCAGGGATCCACTGAATTGCCACTGAAAGAAAATGTTTAAAACATGTTTTAAAGAGTTTGAGCAGATGCTTTAAAGGAATTTACCCGAAAATAATTTTTTTTTTTTTACTCACCCTAAGGCCATGCAAGATGTAGATGAATCTGTTTCTTCCTCTGAACAGATTTGAGGAAATTTAGCATTGCATCACTTGCTCATCAATGGATGCTCTGCAGTGAATGGCTGCCGTCAGAATGAGAGTCCAAACAGCTGATAAAAACACCACAATAATCCACAAGAAAAATCCAGTCCATCAGTTAACATCTTGTGAAGTGAAAAACTTTGTGTTTGTTTAAATAAATCCATCATAAAACATTTTAACTTTGAACCAGCTCTCATTCTGATGGTCTCTTGCTTATCTGCATTTATTTGATAAAAAAAACTGTAAAAGCAGAAATATTGTGAAATATTGTTCCAATTGAAATGTGTTTTCCATTTTTATGTATTTTGAATGTAATTGATTCCTGTGATGCATTCAGAAATCATTCTAATATGCTGATTTGATGCTCAAGAAACATTTCTTATTATCAGTTTTAAAACAGTGTTTGCTGCTTAATATTTTTAAATGGTGATGCACTATACCAGTCAAAGCTTTGGGGTTAGTACAATTAAAATAATAATAATAATAATAATAATACTTTAATTCATCAAGGATGCATTAGATTGATTAAAAGTGACAGTAAAGACATTATATTAATTATATTACAAAAAAATATATTTCTAATAAATGAAGTTCGATTAACTTTCTACTCATTAAAAATATTAAGCAGCACTGTTTTCAACATATGAACATTATTAATAATTGAGCAGCAAATCAGCATATTAGAATGATTTCTGAAGGATCATGTCACACTGAAGACTGGAGTAATGCTGAAAATACTTTACATCACAGGACTACAATTTAAATGTATTTTAAAAAGAAAGAAAGAAAGAAAGAAAGACAGAAAGACAGAAAGAAAGACAGACAGACAGACAGAAAGAAAGACAGACAGAAAGAAAGACAGACAGACAGACAGACAGACAGACAGACAGACAGACAGACAGACAGACAGACAGACAGACAGACAGACAGACAGACAGACAGACAGACAGACAGACAGACAGACAGACAGACAGACAGACAGACAGACAGACAGACAGACAGACAGACAGACAGACAGACAGACAGACAGACAGACAGACAGACAGACAGACAGACAGACAGACAGACAGACAGACAGACAGACAGACAGACAGACAGACAGACAGACAGACAGACAGACAGACAGACAGACAGACAGACAGACAGACAGACAGACAGACAGACAGACAGACAGACAGACAGACAGACAGACAGACAGACAGACAGACAGACAGACAGACAGACAGACAGACAGACAGACAGACAGACAGACAGACAGACAGACAGACAGACAGACAGACAGACAGACAGACAGACAGACAGACAGACAGACAGACAGACAGACAGACAGACAGACAGACAGACAGACAGACAGACAGACAGACAGACAGACAGACAGACAGACAGACAGACAGACAGACAGACAGACAGACAGACAGACAGACAGACAGACAGACAGACAGACAGACAGACAGACAGACAGACAGACAGACAGACAGACAGACAGACAGACAGACAGACAGACAGACAGACAGACAGACAGACAGACAGACAGACAGACAGACAGACAGACAGACAGACAGACAGACAGACAGACAGACAGACAGACAGACAGACAGACAGACAGACAGACAGACAGACAGACAGACAGACAGACAGACAGACAGACAGACAGACAGACAGACAGACAGACAGACAGACAGACAGACAGACAGACAGACAGACAGACAGACAGACAGACAGACAGACAGACAGACAGACAGACAGACAGACAGACAGACAGACAGACAGACAGACAGACAGACAGACAGACAGACAGACAGACAGACAGACAGACAGACAGACAGACAGACAGACAGACAGACAGACAGACAGACAGACAGACAGACAGACAGACAGACAGACAGACAGACAGACAGACAGACAGACAGACAGACAGACAGACAGACAGACAGACAGACAGACAGACAGACAGACAGACAGACAGACAGACAGACAGACAGACAGACAGACAGACAGACAGACAGACAGACAGACAGACAGACAGACAGACAGACAGACAGACAGACAGACAGACAGACAGACAGACAGA